CGTTTTAAGTTATTCATAGTAATCCATCTCTTGCCCAGATATATAGAATATCTAAAGCATGTCCTCAAAGGGCCATGGTCAGATATATTGCCTATTCGACTGTTTCAGGTAATTTGTCCATGTCATCTTCCCGTCGAAAGTAGGAGCTTTAACACGAGCAGAGCTTACAATTCCTTCAATTTCAGCTTTTACTCCACCTCATGGCACTTTAGTTGCATTGTCCTTGGCTCTTCTGTATGTTTCACGGCTTGCCTGTCTATTTTCTCTATCTTCTTTTCCATTTCTTTTATTTTCTCCTTAACTGAAGACATCTTATTTTTCACATCAACAGAAATTTCATTTCTTATAGAAGAGATGTCAGAGGAGACTTTAGTTTCCATAAGACATTTAAGAAAGAAATATCAGACGAAACTTTATTTTCTAAGGAAGAAAGTTTATTATCTAAGGAAGAAACTTAATTATCTAAGGAATAAATATCAGAAGAAACTATTTTCTAAGGAAAAATATGATTTTTTATAGAAGCAGTAATTTCAGTTTTCATAGAAGTAATTTCAGAAGACATTTCATTTTGGAAGTAATTATAGAAGACGTATCATCCCAAAATAGATACGTTTATCCATCCTTTTTTTCCTGTTGCTTCTTTAATCCTTCCTGCACCGCAGATCAGTGATTTCTACCGCGTTTCGTAGATAACTTGCTTCATCAAATATTATTTTGGTAATGAAAATGTAGTGGAGGAGTAAAATGCCTAATTAAGGCAGAGAGGGACTTAAGAGATTATAGCATGACCGGACTGGTCGAAAAAGGCTCGCGCGACAAATGTTATCTGCTTTTTATTGTCCACTTGAATTTCTGTTCTGAGTAAATTACGATTTTTGTGTTAGCAAATGGTGTTTTTTACTCACGAGTGGAATAATTGTCGAGCGTATACTCATTTTTATTACAGTTTATTATCTTTGCATACAAAATAATGAATCTAATTACTTTTTAAGTAAAAGCATTTAGCATGTAGGAGTAAGTTATGTTAATCACGAAAAATGTTGTTTTCAAAATAAATATTAGTTGGTTATTCTCTGAATTCCATTCTCTTGAACTAGTCCCTACATATTTATTATTATTAATATTATTATTTTACGTTCCCATATTTCCAATGTTTTTCCGTCTCCTTGTCAAAGTGCATGTTTCTACTGCATACCTACATCATGGCTGACCTTATCAATCTCTATATTTATTATGGATTTTTATTTTTGGATTTATTGACAGAACAAGTTGGATGCCTTTTTATTTCTTATAAATAGTACAGTAAAATTGTCGTAAAATAAGAGTGGTAAATTGGGGACGGACTAAATTTTCCAAATTGGCGCAGTCCCGCTTATTAAGGAAACACCGTAAAAAATTGGAATTGATTTATCTCCATTCCTATTGGTTTGAGGAAAAAGTGTGCAGTTCAAAATTTGTAAACATTTTGGTCCTAGGCCAAACTCTCTGTAGTTCGTTTCAAAAAAAACTAGGGGCGCGAAAGTTATAAAAAAACTGTTTTTTCTCATTTTCACTTATAAGAAATGATTTATGGTTCAGAAGCTGAGCTTTAGGCTAATCTTACTATAACTTTTCTTTAGTTAAAGCGAGACTCTTTTAAAGAGTTTTTAACTTTCGTAGCTTTTTTTCGGTACCAAAAAGTTATAAATGACCTTCAGTCTGTATTAGATTTGATGTTGATTGTTATTTTGTTTATGCTATAAATTATAATAGTGTACTTTGAATATACTAATATTTTTTTTATCATATCTTACTTCAAAAGTTTGCTTGTTAATTTGTGATTGTTTTCCAATATCTTGTACAGTTGTAGTTATTTTAGTTGTAGTAGTACTTATATTTCTTATATATTTTGTGCCCAAATGTTGTTCTGATAACAATAGCACGACTCCGCTCGGATGTAGGATGTGGCGAGGCGAGACGTCGCTTTTAACAGGAGACGATCATGGACTCCATCTCACCGAGGTATATCTCCTAATCATAAAATGGGCTGTGAGCAATACTGCCAGTGTAGTTAAAATCGAGCTCACTGGAATTCTGACAGCAGCAAAAGAATAAATTACCAGAAACAATATCACTCCAAGGAACATGCTCATCTATACAGGTAGCAGACAAGCACTACTCACGCTGTAACGGTTTTAATCGAGCGTTAGGTCTATAGCCTATGTCCAACCCAAACTAAAGGAGGATTAAAGATTTAAGATAGATATATAGGTTTGTTCGTCCATAAAGTATTTCTTTACCTATATTTGCTTAAAATAAAACATCCGACTAGTAAAAAGTTTTCATACTTCCACCCTGTATCACCTTACACATTCACCGAAAACACATTTATATCATCCAGTTCTCAGCAGTTTAAAATTATAGAGATTTTATACTTAATGTATAATTTTTACAAGATTTAAAATATGTTCAACAAAAATAGGCATAGATAAACTCGTTTTATGATACCTTTCTGGCGTAAATTGTAGTATTTATGCTAAAATTTACCTTTAATATCCCTCCTTGTTGTGGTGAATGTTTACCATAATCTTCACAAACATAGCACATTTCGTTTAACTGGGACATGATGTAATTGTGAATATTCTTAATAATTTTCACAAGCACTAAATAACAATTTTTACTCGTTGAATCAGTTTATTAGGTTATATTAGCTGTAAACCGAATTTCAAAATAATTGAGTAATTTTACTGGGGTTCATTGAATCAACCGTGTTTAGTTTCTGTACACGGCTAAGGCATTATATATATATTGTTAAGAATTTTGGAGTTATTACAGGCCTATATATATAAATATATAAGTAGGGCAGTGTATTTATTTTTGATACGAATTACATTATTGGGGCTATTATAATACATGAATTGTTAAGGTCATTAACTCGGGGTAAGGGGAGAGACAAAATATTTTCCGAATTATAAAAAAAATAAACAAGATCTTTTATTTCGTATTTATTTGGTAGATTTAAAAATAGGACTTTTCTGGATTTAAAGAGTCTCAATATTAAAGATCTACCCGGACTCAACATCAAAAATATTGTATTTTTCCCAGATTACAGAGTAATCACCCACTCCCATCTCCACTAGAGTGAACCGGAGCCACAAGGTTGACGTCTGACACAACCGAACTTTTGTGTCACGTTAATATCACGATACTACCCTGGACAGACCACCAATTTACTTAGGGTTAGTACTAGAATGTCACGAAGCTTTGGCCGAAGTACATAACAATAAGATGGATCGAAGGTCACGCCATATCGAAAAGTAACCGTCTTGCTGATTCATTGGCCAGGAAGGGAGCCAACCAAATATTTTTTGTACCTGGTCTTCTATTGGACCGACAACATCGGTAGTGATAAGCCTAATTTAATGAACATTCCCTTGTGAAATTCAAGGAAAGATGGGATGAAACAAGAAACTGCAGACTTGCCAGGAAGCTTTTAAGTTATCCCGACAACACTACAGAAAACGAATATTGACTATGTCTAGAAAGAATCTGCGCCTGATCACAGGCATTTTGACTGGTTATTGCCAAGCACGGAAGCAACTCTATTGCATGGTATTGTCAGAATCCACACTCTCTAGGGGACGAGAACAAGAAAATGAGACCATCGAGCATATCCTCTACTATTGCCCGACGCTCTCATTTATTAGAAGATTTGTGTTCCGCGAGAATGGGCTAACACCGGCCGATATAAGAGAAGCACTTCTTGGCGACATTGTCAACTACATTAAATTTGTAGGCTGGTGACGAGCTAGAAGGTGTCTATTTTTATTATGTTAACTAGACTTTTTAATTTTTGACTGCTTTCCAATATTTGAAACATATATAAAAAGTTTGCACTTCAAGTGTAATTATTATTTCACAAAAAAATTTATTCCTATTCCACATATTGTTTAATACAAGGAAGCTTATAATTCAATGTAAATATCACCGTAAGTTTATTAATTATAAAGATGCAACAACAAATTTCTAACTTCTTCATCATACCAAACAAAATTTTGTTAAATTGCAATTTTTACAAATATATTTTCATAATTAGTTTTAATAAATTGTAAAAACTTAATTTGCAATCATCTAATAATAATTAATAAAATAACATGTATACATCTCTTTATTACTTAAGATAGAAGTCCACTTTTTGTCGTCTGATTTACTTATGGATGCACAATTTATATAACTATTATATACCATTGGATCACACCCTTCTGGTACACGATCGCCATTTATGGCCACTTTCTGAAATCTTATTTACAGCTTTTTGGTAGACCCTTTTTGGTAGAGATTGTCCTCCTTTCCTCTACGCTCCATAGCTGCATGTAAGAAACAAATGTAGACTGCTACATTATTAAAGGTTACCAAAAGAGTGAACATTGGTTGATGCATGTGATAAGGTATGAAATAAGGTACCTACATAGTATGCGTGCAAGTCACTACAATAACGGAGACATAAGACATGTTCAGGGCCGCCGAGAGCCAGGCCGGGCCCCAGGACAATTCTCTAGATCGGGCCCCGTGACAAAAAATCTTAACCAAAAACTGTTCCTCTTCTACTGAAAGAATTTTTTTCTAAAAAAAAAGGTCCTTGCATCAAAAAACTATTCTCCCTACTTTCCTCTACTTGTATTTAATATTTAATTTTAACTTACTTTACTCATCTTGTGTCGAATTTCTCATGCAGAACACAAAAAACCTGTTGTCGGGCCCCCCTTACAGCGCTGCCGGGTCCCCATTTAAGCCCGGGCCCCGGGAATTAGTCCCGGCTACCCCCCTCCCTCTAGTCGGCCCTGGACATGTTTTCCAAATGCCCCAGAAACACTATACAATATTAGAGAAGCAACTGTGTTATGAAGTCAACGGCAAACATTTTTAGCATTGGATGAATTAATTCTTAGTATAAAATAAACTTATAATGCTCACTGTATAACTATTTAATACTCGCTAATAACTTTTATTTTTTATTGCAGGTATTAAATCAATTAGCACGTCTTTCATCAAACGATTTTTTCAAACTACCAATATCCTTGATGATTATTTCCTTTGGTTTGTTAAATCCAAACGAATTAGGTCAAGATGGATGCAAGATATTCAAAATGATTTCCAATATTATAACAAACTTGTTGTGCAATTCCGAAATTATCATCAAACAAAGCGTTCTAGACGTTCTAGAAGTTTGCGAACATAACGGTAAACAAAGTATAGTTAGAGATGTGGCAATGAATTGCGATAGTATGCAAACATTGATTTCCGATAATTTGAAAAAAAGTAACGCAGATTCGAAATTTGATGAGGAATATTTTAAATCTGTCGGAACATTGGAATATTCGCACAATTGCATCGAATGGAAAAAGAGGACTAATACCAAGAGGCTCAGAAGATTTAAGTCCAACGAGTTTGATAACTTTGAGAAACTCGATGATCCCTCGCAGAAACAATACGTTTTAAAAGAAGAAAATACTAGAAGGTTAAAAAGATTCAAGTCAAACGAACTTGATAACTTTTTAAACGAAGAAAATACCACGATAGACACCGTTACTGAGCTACCGGCACAAAATACTGCAAAAAAAGAAGTTTTTAAATATAGCCTTAAAGAATATAAGTACAAATCTTATAAAAAGAAGAATAAACGTACAGAACAAACTGAAGGAGATATAGCAGAAGCAGATGATACCGTACACGAGGTTTTAGTGAGATTGAAAGGCGAAGTAAAATGTTTAACAAATGTATTGAAGACTGAAAAGTTGTCGGCAAAAAATGTATCTGATTTAAAAATAATTTCAAATCAGTTGTTGTCGTTAATATAATTTAAGACTGACTTAAAATAGAATTAAAATTAAATTTCGTTTTTATTCTCCTCCCACAAAATTATGAAATTTATCCCATACTCGATGAAAACAAACTAAAGAAAATCGAAAAATGCCCACATGTCCCGAGCTCTTAGATAGAACTATAGTACCTTGACCACATGACCACTCTAATTGCTACTGGGTATTATACAGAACTATAGTACCTTGACCACTCTAACTACCATTAGGTACCTAGGTATTTTCTGTGGTCATAGAATAGTTTTACTTTTATTGTAGGTTTGCTACCGAAGTAAATTTATTATTTATTTTTATTAGAAGTCCAGGTATTGTCTGGGCTTTTAAACGCGGTTGTGTTTTAATTTAGGCTTGACTAATTATTGCCGACATGAAATTTATTTAATTGAATAAGAAATATTCAGACCCACGTGAGCCGTTTGAATGAGCCGTTCATGTAACTGCTACAGGGTATTCAGATGTGTCCCGTGGTCTTAGATATTTTATTATACATTTAGTACCGAAGAGATTTTTAAGCTATTGCATAGCTTTTATCGCGGGCTTTGAGCGCGGCGACCGAATCAAGAAAAATCACCAAACCGTAACGAAAAAAACCCCCCACTCGAAAAATGGAAAAATGAAAAATCAAAAAAATCGAAAAAATCGAAAAAATCGAAAAAATCGAAAAAATCGAAAATATCGAAAATATCGAAAAAATTGAAAAAATCGAAAAAATCGAAAAAACGAAAAAATCGATAAAATCGAAAAAATCGGAAAAATCCAAAAAATCCAAAAAAAATCCAAAAAAATCCAAAAAATCCAAAAAAAATCCAAAAAATCCAAAAAATCCAAAAAAATCCAAAAAAAATCCAAATAATCTAAAAATAGAAAAATCTAAAAATGAAAAATCGATAAAAACGAAAAAATCGAAAATTAAAAAATCAAAAAAATCGGAAAAATCGGAAAAATCGGAAAAATCGGAAAAATCGGAAAAATCGGAAAAATCGGAAAAATCGGAAAAATCGGAAAAATCGGAAAAATCGAAAAATCGAAAAAATGGAAAATGAAACAATCCGAAAAAATCGGAAATATCGAAAAATGAAAAAATAAAAAAAATCGGAAAAATCGGAAAAATCGGAAAAATCGAAAAAATCGGAAAAATCGAAAAAAAATCGGAAAAGTCGGAAAAATCGGAAAAATCTAAAAAATCGAAAAATCTAAACGAAAAATCGAAAAAGAAATTCCGCGTAACGAAAATAAACCTAACACCCCCCACTCCGACCGGCACAGCGGTGCGGCGTTGAAAGCCGTGCATCGTCTAACGTCGTTTCAGTTCGGCAGACTTCGGCACGGTGTGTGCGTGCGACTAGACGTATGCGTGTAGACTAGCTGCTAACTGGTTCTATCTCTTTTATACACAATTTCGGAAAAATTGAATTTGAAAATGAATAATGATCCACAAGAATCCACAACAAAATATGGGACCACCATTGACGCGGTATTTTCCAGATATTTAGAGGAAACTTATGTTTCTTATTTCAGTTACCATAAACCTATAGTTTCAATGATAACAATTCCTGAATAACCTACATGTATTGCAGGCAGTGGCGGCTCGTGGGGGGGGTTCACAGTGACAGAATATAGGTATCAGTACACATGTATGAAATAACTTTCAGGGTTTTTAGAAAGTTTATAATATACCTTTCCAAAACACAGAGTTTTTTACCTATATCTGTACCTCGATCTATATTCTGCTACTGTGAACCTCCAAAATTTTGGTCACGAGCCGCCCCTGATTGTAGGATAATAAAAATATTTTAAACAATATTAACTTCTCATTTATTCAATAAAAGAAAAAAATTGTTTTCTTATCGGTCACCACGCTCAAAAAGTGTAACTTGAATATCAAAGATAAAACTTGAATTAATATCAAAGAAAAAAAAAATACTTCATAAGTAAAATAAATAAATAATTATAATTGCATAAGTTGATAAAAAATGCTATGCAATAGCTTTACCGCGGCAGTCCTCGAGTGCCACACGTATTTTTTTTATAACATTTGCCTCATTTGAGTTGTTTGAATGAGCCGTCATCGAATTGCTACTGGGAGTCCAGATGTACGGGATTGTTGGTAGTTCAGATTTATTTTAATTTTGTTGTAGTTTATTTTATTACCGATATTAACCGCATTGGTTTAATAAGTATTATCTAGACACATTTAAGTCGTTTGAATAAGTCGCTCATCAAATTGCTACTAGGTATTCAGGAGTTATTCGTAGTTGTATCTTGTTAAAGAGCTCTTTAAACCCGGTCGTTAAGCAATTTTCCGTTGAACAAATAATATCTTGACTCACCTCAGTCGCTTGAATGAGATACTACTGGGGCAGTAGATATTAACCGCGTTTCTGTTATCCTTGGCGAAGTTTAAGATAACGTTAGGGAAATTAAAACCATAGTTGTAAATCTAAAACACCATTAAAGTTGCTTACGTAAAGAAGACCTCCGCAGGGTTAGCCAATCTTCTGTTGTATATTTTTGTTAATATAATCGTCTAAGTACCGAAAACGTTTTTGTAAGTAATACACCTGTTAATTGCATATTTATTTGGCTTATACGGTTACTTAACCGAAGACAAATCCCAATTTTATAAAAATAATAAAAAAATAAAACTCGTTATTACCTGCTTAAATCTAAATCAAGAACATTTTGACCCCTGGAATATCCGTATCTCCATTAGTGTTACCCTGAACCCTTTGGTGTGTAAATCACATTAAATAGTCTGGCGCCCGAGTAATTTCTGAGTCTAAGGCATTACAGATTAAGTAAAATTTTCTCAACAAACATAAATAATGGCCCAATAACTGTCTGCATCCAATTATAATGATGGCATTTTAATTTTTTTCTTTAAAGGGAAAGCATATACAGGGTGTCCCGAAATTAGACGGTCATATTTTAACAGCGTAATCTAGATCCTAAAATAGGAGTAAAAGTTCATATAAACATAGGTCCGAAAACGTTTCATTTTCGAGATACAGGGTATTACAAGTGAAGTTCTGATGGTACATTTTTGTAAATATTTTCTAACATTTAAATTTCTTTAGTGACCGGTTTTCCAAAGTTAAAAAAAAAATAAAATTTCTGATTCCACAGCTACTAATTATTGATTACACTTTCGAATAAGATAACATCAACTAATTATGAAATTTTCCAATGATTTTCTCTTGAAAATTGTGCGTCCTAGCAACGAAAGTAGCTTTATTATAAATAAAACATTGGTTTTCCAAATTGTATAGTCAAAAATGTTAAAAACTGCCAACAAAAAAAACTTAGGGCAATTTTATCCTAAGCCCCCCCAATTTATCCACCTATGAAGATCAAAAACTAAGGTTAAGTCCATTAAATAGAACGTAAAACGGTAAGCATTTGTACAAAATTTTACTTAGTTATCTTTAAACGTTTAGAAAATATTTACAAACTCATCAGAACTTCACTTTTAACACCCTGTATCTCGGAAAAGAAACGTTTGCGGATCTATGTTTATATGAACTTTTACTTCTATTTTAGGATGTAGATTGCCCTGTTAAAATATGACCGTCTAATTTCGGAACACCCTGTATATATAGGTCACAGCAGCCGAAAGTCGGGCCACAGTTACATGGCTTTTAACATCACAGAGTCACTTTACCATCATACGGTTAAAGGGTATTCTATGACCGACTGCAGGTCCAATATTAAGTGTTTAATATTTAAGCAGTTTTTTGGAAAATAAAAGTATGACATGACATTTTAATAAAACTAAGGGTATGGTCCGTTATTAACCGACTACTAACCGCTAGTAACCAGGATTTTTTGACATCGGTTCCTGAAAAACACTAATTTCTTGGTTACTTTTGGACCACGGCCGAGATTTACGTCACTTTTGTGACATATTGACATTCGACTTAATGGAAACCGCAAAAATGTACCGGTTAGTGAATTGACATTTGAGTCACCATTTTCAGGTAACCGCGTCCCTAATTCAACCGATTTTTCAGGAATGTCAAGCAGAGCTGTTAGTTTTGGACCGAGTAACCGATATTTCGGTTAATAACGGACCATACCCTAACTTGAACTATTGATACTATTACTCTTTTCTTAAATCCAGTAAAATAAGGAAATATATAAATAATGAAATTAATTAATTAGTATTTTTTGGTATAACCTGAATAAAACAGTTTATTTAAGTAGTGATTGTACTACCTACTACAAAATAGGAACTATTTAAATACTTACTTCCTATTTTCCTGAGATTCACTTTGAAGAAAGAATGATAAATTTAAATAACCTTTTGCAAGCTGCAAGTAACAAGAAATGAGTAAAATTACATAAAAAAATCTTCTTTTGTACTGTAGTGATCTTGTACTCATGAATATCCAGCCACTTACAAAAAATGTATTTCGAAAAGGTTATAAACGTTTGAAAAATACACTTTCATCGATTATTTCCCATCTTTTTATTTCTCTTAGCTAAAATCCATTTGCATTTTGTAGATATCATTTAAAATATGAGCTCTTAAAAATCAAACTTATGAGATGAGCAAGTGACTCCAACGCAAGGCCAATATAATTTTTTGATTGATGAAAATATAATGGCTTTTCAACATTTACCCAACATGATCATTTCCGCATCAATTGCGGCAATGGGCCATCAGTTTCCTGACAGTTGATTGTTGGGTTCTCGGAGGCGAGAAAACACCTTACACTAAAATTATAATTAAAATACGGGACGCTTATTTATTAACCAGAAATACGGGATGTTCCCCGAAATACGGGACGTCTAGCAATCCTAGTTAAACAGGATCTTATTAATGCTAAGCGACGTTTGACAGATGCCTTCCGTTTTTGATGGTACAAGCTGCGGTGAAAGATAAGGAATTAATTTGCATGTTTTCTAAAAATAAATAGTTTTTAGATAAGAGCTTATTCAATACAAACGGGAACGGTAGAAGTACAAAATCTGAAAGTAATACGTGTTAAAAGAGATAACTGTAATTGAATATTAATTTTTAGCGATGGAATA